GTAGAAAGCCTCATCTTTCTCTCGCGGAGCGGCTGGTAGTTTCGAACCACTGACCTTAAGGTTCGCAGCCCGATTCGTAACCACTACGCTACCAGTATGCATATATAAATTAACCTTGCCTGTTTATTATTAAAATATGGCTACAAGGGAATTTAAAATCCCAGGTGTAGAAAGTTGTTTGTAGCAAATTTGGTCTAGACAGCATGAGATGTGAAGACACTGCCCCCTGCTGGAGAAGTTGGACTTTTATCTCTGCTCCAAGATTGGCTTCTTCCTTCTTTAAGATGCCCAACTAAAACCTAGAACCAGGCTCTAGGGGCTTCCCATACTTTTATGTCCTTTAAACAGGAACACTTTGGGATATAAGAATTTACAAAATACATTTAAAATATGAGACTATGAGAATCAGAGAGGTAGGTAGTAAATGGTGGGATGGGAATTTAAATTCTGGTCTCTCCGCAAGCTGTCTACTGTTGTCAATGGGTTTTCATTTTCTTTCTCTTCCTTACCAGAGCAACTAGTGCTGTGTTTCCCAGAGTGGTGCAAACGTTTAAGCACTTGAATAACTGAAAGGTTGGTTTGAATTACCCTGTTGTTGTTGTTGTTGTTGTTAAGTGCCATCAAGTCGGGTCCGACCCATAGCGACCCTGTACAGGGTTTCCAAGGGTGTAAATCTTTACGGGAGTAGAAAGCCTCATCTTTCTCCCGCGGAGTGGCTGGTAGTTTCGAACCGCTGACCTTAAGGTTCGCAGCCCGATTCGTAAACACTACGCTACCAGAGCTCCTGGGGCACTTTAAAAGGAAGACTTGGCTGGCAAGATCATATAGCCGTGGAAAACACTGTGGAGCTCAGTCTTAGTCAGAAATGCATGAGCTACTGGAAATAATAGAGTCAACTTGATAGCAACTGGTTTAGCTGGTTTATCATGGGGCTAGGTACTAGTCTAATAAGTGAACATTTATGGCCTCATTTATTTCTTGAAACAACCCAACAAAGATAATCTTTTAGTATCCTCATTTTACAGATGAGGAAATGGAGCACGAAAGTAAAGTTGGCTAAGGTCTCATAGCTGATAACAGGAAGACCATGTGCTGTCATCATGCCTGCCTTATCCACAGCCCAGACAGTGACAAGAGCTGACCCATTTTGGTAAACTAGCAGTCGCAGACCAAGTGTTGTAAGTTACATTCAGGGAAGACTGTGACAAAAATAGTTGTTCTAAAGAAAAAAAAAAAAAAAAAAGAGAGCGAATGAGAGAATGTTTACTTTTTCCCTCAGAGATTTTTTCCCCTTTAGATGTTATTTATTTTGTTGTTGTGGAGAATATGCACAACAAAACTTCCACCAAATTCAGAGCTTCTACAGGTACAACTGAGGAGCTCTGGTAGCATAGTGGTTCCGAATCAGGCTGCGAACCTCAGGGTCAGCTGTTAGAAACTACCAACTTTTCCACGGGAGAAAGATGAGGCTTTCTGCTCCCATAAAGATTTAAAGCCTTGGAAACCTTTAAAGTCGGAATCGACTCCATGGCACATAACAACAACAACAACAACAACAGGTACAACTGAGTGATATCCTTCGTTTGGGGCACTCATTCTCACCCTCTTTTTCTGAGTTGTCCCTCAATCATAAACATGAACATACTGCCGCCTAAGGTTCCTATCTAATTTTCTGAATTGCTGTTATCAATTTGATCCCTTTCTTTGTACTAGTTAAGCTAAACCATTGTTTAGTTTTAAGACGACTTCAGGTGATATTTTTAGTTTAAGGCATAAAGATTTTCTTAGCACAATAGCTTCAGGGGTTCATCCAATCCTCCATGGCTCCAGAAAGTCAATGAGAATTTGAAATTCTGTTTTGCATTTTCTTCCGTTGATCAGGATTTTTCTGTGGAATCTTTGATCAAAATATTCAGTAGTGGTAACTGAACACCATCTAGTTCTGGTCTCTTGACAAAGGAGCCAGTTTTTCATGGAGACAGTTAGCCACACATTCCATTGTTGTCATTGCTATGTGGTATGGAGTTGGTGCCTATTCATAGTGACCCCATGCACAACAGACAAAAATGTTGCCCAGCCCTACCCTGTCCTCACAATTGTTACTCTGCTTGATCACACTGTGTCAGTCCATCTCACTGAGGTGATGACTCTATTTCACCAGCATGCTGTCCTTTGGTGACTGGTCCTTCCTCATAACATGTTCAAAGTATGTGAGACAAAATGTCACCATCCTCACTTCTAAGGAGCATTCTGGCAACGTTTCTTCTAAGACAGATTTGTTCGTTCCTCTGGCAGGCCGTGGTATATTCAATATTCTATGCCAACACTATAATTCAAAGGCACACATTTTTCTGTGATCTTCCTTATTAATATGAAGTGATTGAAAATACCATGGCTTGTGTCTGGTGCATCTTAGTCCTCAAAGTGACATCTTTATTTTTTAAAACAACGTCTTTTGTAGCAAATTTGCTCAATGCAGTATGATTTCTTGAGTGCTTCTTCCAGGGGGGTTAATACACATTCCACATCCTCCTCCAGTTCCCAACTCTCCCTCTTCCTCTGTTGCTCCAGGTGAATAGAGATCAATTGTTGTGGCTTGGATGGCTGCTGGCTAGTTTTTAATGCCCCAGGCACTACTTAATTAACTAGAAGGTAGAACAGAAGCATTAAATGTTTGTTGTTGCTGTTGAGTGCTGTGGAGTTGGTTCCGACTGGTTTCCAAGGAGTGACTGATGAGCTTGAACTGCCAACCTTGTGGTTCAAATTGACCTTGCATTCCAGTGCATTAACCCACAGCGCCACACTAGCACTTCCTAGACAAAACTCAAATGCATGGACTTTGGATGGTTGAGATGAGGGATAAATTTTCTTTTATCTTTCTACATTTTTCAAAAACGTCTATAATATAAATAATATCATATGTAATATCATAATGATATAAATATATTTTTTAATTGCAATGAAAGCCATCAGGATGTAAGAAATAGCCAAACAGATTTTCCATTTTTAGGGGAAAGTCCTGTAAAAGGTAAATATCTTTCTCTGCTGGTCCCGGAGTTAAAGCCAAGAACATTTTGACAAATTGCTGTATGACTCTATTTATATAAAGTTCTAGGAGATACAAAGGAATATATAGTGACCTAAAGCAGATTAGAGGTAGTCTGGGGGAAGGAGGGACCAGGAAAAAGAGAGATGATTACCAAGAGGGCACAAGGAAACTTTGGGGGTTTACCAATTGTGGGGATGGTGACATATGGCAAAACAATCAATTGTACGCTTTAAATGGTGGTGGTGGTGATGATGTTCTGTGGAGTTGGGACCAACTCATAGCGACCCTGTACAGGGTTTCCGAGGCTGTAAATCTTTATGGGAGCAGAAAACCTCATCTTTCTCCTGCGGAACAGCTGGTAATTTCAAACTGCTGACCTTAAGGTTTGCGGCCCATTCGTAACCACTACGCTACCAGTGCTTTAAATAAGTACAGCTTACTGTATGTCAATTCAGCCTTCATAAAGCTGTGACACAAGAAGAATGAGCTTTGAACAGGTCATGCGTACAGATGGCTCAAAAATCAAAAGATGGGCAGTGAAAAGTTGGTCTCCTTCCTTCTCCATTGGTCCAGCGCATTAACCACAGTGCCACCCCAGGACTCCGTTTCTTACATCTGGTCACTGTGAGTCAGAACTGACCTGACAGCACATAACAACAATAGCAATCTTTATAGAAGCAGATCGTCACGCTTTGTCTTCGTTGGTACCACTGGATGGGTTCCAACTACCAATTTTTAAAGCTAGCAGTCAAGTGCAAACTGTTTGCACCACCTTGTTGTTGTTGTTAAGTTCCGACTCATAGTGACCCTGCACAGGGTTTCTGAGGTTGCAAATATTTACGGGAGCAGAAAGCCTCAACTTTCTCCCGCAGAACAGCTGGTAGTTTTGAACTGACAACCTTGAGGTTAGCAGCCTGATTCATAACCACTACGCTACCAGAGCTCCTTGGAACCTTGTATATACAAATAATGCACATAAAAGACTGGCACATGGTGAATGCTGCTATCAAATTAATGAGCCTTTCAGACCCTACCTTCTACCATGTTTAGAATGTATCTGATAAAAAATTCTCAGGAACAGAGTGATTAGAAACTGTGTAAGACAGATTCATTAACCACGTGGATTCCTTGTTTGCGCAGGTTATCCTATGCAGAAAGCCAGGTACCAGTGGGTACGCTGTAATCCAGACAGCAGTTCTGCCAATTGCATTGATGAAAAGGGACCACTATTCAATCTACTTCCAGGTGAATCCAACAGGATTCTCCCTCCAAATACTGACCCTTTTTCGTAAGTAGACTTTTTCTGATTTTTGAGTGTTTATAACTTCACAACCTCTGCTGAGATCCTGGCATGTATGGGGTGGGAGGATGGTTTAGTGTTTCCTTCAAGTTCCTGCTTTGTTGGTTTGGGTTTTAGTTGCAATCCTCAAAATGCTGCTTGGCAGCCCTGTGCTTAGTGTTCTTACTCAAGTCCACGGTATTTGAACCTTTGCTACTCTGCTTTCCGTGTGGATGAATGTTCCCTGCTTGGGTGTCTATCCTGGACCTGTTTGTCCTCAGATCTATTCTTGTCCTTCTCTGACCCTGTTCTGTAGAAAGAGCGAGCAACTCTTGTAGACTGCTTTTCTCAGGCTTTGGGTCAGTGGCTGAGCTAATTTACTAGAAGGCATGGAAGGGAAAGTCCGGGGTGCTTCCCCTCACTAGTCAGCTCCCACTAGATGCCCAATTCCCTGACCAGGTAATACCACCTCCTACCATCTTGCCCCCACCCCGGCATAACAGTGCCTTCTTGCTGTTGACTCACCAGCCCCTACTTGGCTTCACGTCTCTTCCAGCACATGTACAACCAATTCCCTCTGTGTGAAATATTCAAAGATATTTCCTTGTTGGACCCTGAATATTGCAGCTTCTCACAGCACCTCTCATTTGTGTTGGGGATCCTGTCCCCACATATCTTTTCAAGGACTTTAGTTCTGCAGTTAGCGCCACTAAACTGCCCAAAATTTTGGTCCTGTCATCATGCAAACATGCACTAGTCTTTCCAATGTTTATGTGTGCCTGCAATGAGTAGATAGATAGAGAATTGATTTCTAGGGCATAATTTAGGTAAGATAAGTTTAGGCAAACACATGGGAAGGCCTGTTTTAAATTTAAATTTTTTTATTTAAATTGGCAAGTTTTTTTCTCTTTTAACTTGAGCAACTATTACCTGCATTTGTTACCTTATTTAAATTTTTTGTGTTTATCTTCCTTTTGTCTCAAAATTTATTGTGTGTTTTGCTTTCTTTTCCTGTCATACTCCAGAAAGATAAGATTCCAGAACTTGCGTGATATCTTCCCTCTTTCTGAAGACTTTTCTGGATCAGGCTCTGGCTCTGGATCGGGCTCTGGAAGTGACTTCCCTACTGAAATCGACCAAGAGTACCAACAAGTAGATGACAATGATGCCTTCTATTACAATTCCAGGCCTCTTAAGAGGAATCTGCCCTCAGACAAGCAGGATTTGGGCCTAGAAGAATCTGAAGGCGATTTTGTTATATAAAGGACTTTCCCACCTTGACATTAGGCAACGTATTACTTATCTTTTTGTACGTGGTTAAATGATTATTCTTGGGAGAAAAAAGTTTAAAATATTTTAAACATTTGAAAAACAAGTTTAAATTGATATCATTTTTTTCTCATAAATTAAAAACTGTGTAGACTTACGCTTTAATGCTGTTATCAATGTATCCTATTGTTCTGAGAAATACCTGCATTTCCTTCCTATCAAATTCAGCCAACCTTTCTATGAAATTGGTGGTGGTGGTGATGTACTTAGGAGTCAGTTCTGACTCATAGCGACCCTGTACAAGTTTCCGAGGCTGGAAATCTTTACTGAAGTAGAAGCCTCATTTTTACAGCCCGACTGTAACCACTACACTACCAGAGCTCCTTTACTATGAAATTAACAAGGTTCATTTGGCCACCATGTCTATAAAATTGCTTTAAAGAATAGATTATGCTTTTTTAAAAACAAAAAATTAGTTTGAGAAGCAAATGGACAAGCCACACTTACCTTTTTGTCATCAGGAACCCGACTCTGATTGTGAAGTACAGCTATACCACTTTTTTTATTAAAAAAAAATCAAGATGCAACGTACAGCGAATGTATAGAGTGGGTATTTGTGTTTAATAGTGTGAAGTGTATTACTATACTAGGACTATTGGATGTGCGTGCAGAGTAGTGGACATTGTTTGTTTAGAAGTATGATTGCCCTCACAGAAACGTAAGACTCAAATCAAAACACAGTAGTGCCCTCAGCAGCTTTTTTTAAATTGTGTTTGTTCTCCTGTGTATTTTCAAATGTTGCTCTATTAAAGCAAAAGTATAACCAAAGAGTTAAACTGTCTGGGAGCTCTGTTTAAAACTCAGGGGATCGTCATTTTGGTTCAGATGTCTCAGAAGTCTTATCAACCAAATATCTTTAAAATCACTTGGCAATGAGTACAGGTTTTTTTTAACTAGAATCAAATCATATTAACCAGCATATGATGAAAGAACTCATGTCTTAGCAAAGGACTTCCTTTACCTGAGATCTGCTCTGTTCCTTTTCGTTCTGGAAATCTGTCAGCAGCCTTCTCCTGGATTCTGTTCTGTCTACTCTGCCCAGATCCTCTCTTCAGAACTGAGAACATTATTCTAGTTTGTTTCTGCTGAAGACAGCCACCTTTTCTTTCTTTGGGGAAGCCTGCATCCAAAGACTAGATGATGGTGGGTATATAAAAACCCTCAGAAGGGCTACCAGAGATTCGAAGCTCCTTGAGGTGCTCATCTGAGGCTTTGTTGGAACTGTTTTGCACATCATTTCACCAGTTACTCATTCTTTCTTCTTTCCATTTGCCCTCCGAGGTATTTATCCTAAGAAACTTTGTGCACACTAGTCTTCATTGCTTCATGGAAAATTCAACCTAGCAACAGTTAATGCCAGGAGGGGTGGAAAGGTGGGATTTTGGAGCTAGATCACCTGATGCAATGCTGACAATGAAGATGTCATCCCTAGCTATAGATGAGCACAAGCATAAGATCGCACACAACTGTTCAACTACCACTGGTGATGCATCAGCAGAAGGCAGTGCACTAGAGAGCAACACACCAGGCATTTGAGACATAAGGGGAAGTAGTACCTCTAAAGGCAATGGAATCAGATGGCTGTTGCTGGAGATAATTGAGGCTTTTGAAAGAAACAATGAAAGGTAAAATATTAAGAAACTCTTTTCTATAACAGAAGGTCAAAGGGAGCTCAGAATCCGCATTAATCATAAAAATAGCAGAGCTCCAAGAATGTTAAATTGTTAATCTAGGGAAGTCAAGTATACAAAGTCAAGATCCTGATTAAGAAAGAATGGAACCCTAAGATATGGGGACAACAAAATTGATTCATTCAAATCTTGAATCTCTAGAAACTCCTGAATTCTTTGAGTCTATAGAACAAGCCCACTCCTCATTAGGGACTAATGCTTTCCTCTCTGTTGAACATGATTAAGAAGCATCTATCTGTCCCTCAAGACAACATGTACCTTCTCCTCAAGATCTGTACCAGACTCATAACTGGAGATAAGTTGCAAAATAAATTAAAAGGGGAAGTGATGAGCTTCCTAAGTAGGAAAGGTTGTATGCTCTTTAAAGTTCTGTAGAACCTAACTGGCATGTAATAATAGGATAACATCCAGACACCTACAAGGAAGACTAGTTAATATCATTATTATTCAAATTTACATGCCAACCAGTGATAATGGAATTGAAGAACTCTACCTGGTGTAGCACTGTAGGGTAAGCACTACCACAAGGTTGGAGGTTCAAATCCATCAGCCAGTCCTCAGAAACGCTATACAGGGTTGCTGATTCAGAACTGGTACCTAACAGTAACAACAACCACCAGCTTCTTAGTCTGAAATTGATCAAGCATTCAATCAAGATACATTGATTGGATTGTAAAACAGGTGATTGGAATGCAAAACTGGGAAACAAAGAGTTGGAAAAGATGTCCTTGGTAATAGAAATGATGCTGGAGATCATAAGATAGAATTTTGCAAGACCAATGCCTTATTCATTGCAAATACCTATACTCATGGCACTTGCTAGATACATAGGAATCAAACTGACTACATCTCTGGGAAGAGACAATGGAGAAGCTCAGGATTATCAGCCAAAACAATGCCAGGGGTAGACTATGGAACAGACCATCAATTGTTCACATGCAAGTTCAGGATGAAACTGAAGAAAATTAAAACACTTGTGCATTCTATAAGAAGCAAAATATGACTTTGAATATATCCACTTGAATTTAGAGACCATTCCCAAGAACAGATTTGATACATTAGAGACTAATGATCGAAGACCAAAGGAGTGACAGCAAGAAAAGAAAGACACCACCACGGGTATCAGAAGAGGCTCTGAAATTTGTTCTTGAGTGTAGTGAAGTCAAAGAGACTGGAAGAAATAATGAAGTAAAAGGGCTGAGAAAAAACTTCCAAAAGATAGCTCAATAGGACATGGTCAAGTATTATAATAAAATGTGCAAAGACCTGGAGCTAGGAAATCGAAAGAGAAGAACATGCTCAGCATTTCTCAAGCTGAAAGAACTGGAGAAAAAAATTCAAGCCTCAGGTTGCAATATTGAAGAAATTCACAGGCAAATTTCAAGTTATCCTCACTCGGATTATATTAAAAATGCCCATCCATGTCCACGGCTGATGACAACATTGAAGGTACATGTGAAATGATTCTATTGAATACACAAGAAACAATGGATTATTTGATAAATCAGCCAGATAAAATAATCTACAACAGACTTGATTTTTGGAAAGTTTGTGTGAGATAGGTACCAAAACAACTCACAGAAGTGTTTGAAGGTCTGCAAACAAAATTTGGACTGATATACAAAGTGAAATTTTCCTTTAAAAAAATCATTACTGGTGATGAGACATGGATTCATTACTAAGAACCTGAGAATAAATGGCAAAATATGGAATGGAAACATCCTCAATAGCCAATCAAGAAAAAGCTCAAAGGTCAACTACCAGCTGGAAATTTGATGCTTACAGTTTTCTGGGATTCTCAAGGGCTAGTATTGGATCACTATCAGGAAAAAGCTTCAACAATCAACAGTGCTAGTTACAGTGAGATGCTCACTGAAGAACTAACTGAAACTGAAACTTGGGATTAAATGCAGAGGACTGCTACCCAAGGACATTGTGATCTTGCATATGACAATGCATGTCCCCACACCTATGCTCACACTGTTGACAGCCTGCAAAATCTTCATTTGGAGGTGTTAAAGCTTCTTCCCTATAGTTCTGACCTTGCTCCTCTGAAAGTAGCCCTTCGGGAACAAAGATTCACCTCTGATGAAGAAGTAAAGACAGCGGTGCATTCATGATTCGGAGCTCAGCCTGAAACATTTTACAATAAGGGAATACAAAAGCTTGTTGACAGATGGACAAAGTGTGTTGAAAATCAAGGAGACTATGTTGAAAAATGATGTATTTGTCTTTTCTAAAAGTTGATTAAAATAAATTCTATAGCCAGAGTGTGGATAATTTTTTACTTGCCCTTGTTTATAAGCCTGGGAAACCCATCAGATGAATTTGTTCTGCAATAAAGACTATGTTTGTGAGAAGGACCAGCAATACTGAGCCATCAATGGTGGTTCTCCTCTGAAGGGTAGGGTTAATGGTTGTTGTTGTTAGTGCCTCGAGTTGGTTCTGACAGGAGTGGCTGGTGAACTTGAACTGCTGACCTTGAGGTTCAAAATGACCTGGTAGTCCAGTGCATTAACACACAGCACCACACCAGGGTTGATGTTAGGCAATGTGATTACACAGGATCCATCAAACACCACATAGTCTAGATGTCATTAACATGTCGTTGTTGTTGTTAAGTGCCATAGAGTCTATTCTGACCCATAGCAACTTTATATAGGGTTTCCAAGGAGCAGCTGGTGGGATTGAACCACAGACCTTGCAGTTCAAACAACTTTGCAGTCTGATGCATTAGCCCACAGTGCCACACCAGGACATGATAGAATGATGAAAAGGTCTGTTGAAGGCACACCTGAGGCACCAGCTTGGTTATGATACACTGAGGTTGGGATACCAACTTCCAGGATGCAGTGGTTGTGGTTATGTGCTGTAGAGTCAGCTCCAACTCACAGTGACCCTTTATCGAATTTCCAAGGCTGTAAATCTTGACAGGAGCAGAAAGACTCTCATCATTCTAATGTGGAACAGCTGGTAGTTTCGAACTGCTGACCTTGAGGTTAGCAGCCTAACTCGTAACCATTTGTATCCACTACACTACCAGTATACATGCTAATCAATAACCTTTATATGGTGCAGTGTCCTTATTAGAATACATGGACCCAGGAAACAAAGGATGGATGTAGGAGAGAATTAATTTACCATCAAATTTACCTGGGGACTTTATGCTTCCTGTCCCCACAACTTTGTGTTTTGCAGACTTGTGTTGTTGCCCCCTAGGGAAAATGCTTCTAGTAGAGGACT